AAATTTCAATTTTTATCCTGAAAATGTCTCATTGCCGAAATAGTTATGATCTGTTCAAGTATTGGCAGTTTTCCTTATGAAATCTATGTATGTAGTATAGGCCAATGATTCTGACTCACAATGTACAATGTACAATGTACCTAATGTCGAAAATTTCACACATTTTGTTCTACGAAAAATTTTGTTTTCAATTATTCATTTAGCTTTTTCTGGTTACTAGACTGAATTTCTGTACAGGAAGAAGCATAGGTATACTTGTGAAGTTTTGACAGGGTGCAATCTTTTCGAGGAAGAATTGAAACTGAATTCACACCTATAGGTCAATCTAGTAGATCTATTCATTATTCAATCGTCTATAGAGCAATTTTCTGAGGAAGAGTGATGGAAATTGAATCACAAAAAAAAAGAATGAACTACCGCTAGAGACATTACCGATTTTTTATCGAAAATGGTGTGTAGTTAACAAAAGTATCATAACAATCATAGGTATGACCACTGAATCTATACTACATAAGATAATATAGGTACTCCCGTTATATCTGGATTGTATCCATTTTCTACTCATTTCAGACACTACCAAGGAAAGTGATTTTTCATGATACAGGGCTTGGCTTCCACTTCGGATGCTCCTGAAGATCACCAAGAAAAAAAACTCAATTCCAGGAAAGCATAAAATCCATTCATATACCCATTACCCACTGAATCACCAGGTATATATATATAATAAAACTAGGGAATATTGGGGACTGCAGCAAAGTCAAAAAGAGTACTCTTTAAAGTTGGTCCAAGCTTTCGAAAATCTTTATTTTCATCATCAGGGAGTCTGTAAAGTGATTATTCATGAGTATCATGTAGTTAAAGTAATGAAATCTTTGTGTACTTACAACTTTGGTGAGGATGGCTGACATGATGTTCATGTATAATTTCTTTATGTGTCTTGGTAACATAACATGAAAAAGCCGAAAAATCATCGATAAAAATACAATTACATTACATTGAATCACACGTTAAAATATTATAAACTAGTTAAAAGTCACATCTTCCACCACATGGTTGGAATTGTTAGCAGATAAGGTTATTGCAAATGGTGCCGGGAAATGAGTTTTTTTGAAAAATGAATATGACTGACATATGATAGTGTGTGTGAAGACAATTGTCATGTCAAAATGCACGAAACAGTGGTACCAACAGACCATGCGTACCAACGTTGAAAACTGAAATTTGAAATGATTATGAGTTATCTAAAGACAGTAAAAAGGAATAAATCTCACTCAAATGATTGATATCCGTTTTTTTATTTATGCAATTATTGCATTGTGATATAAAGGTCATTTCTAAGAAAGTTCTTTTCATCAGATGTTTTTCTCGTGATAGGATTTCAACAGCATCAAAATTCATACGGTGATCATATTTATTCACATGTTCTGCAAGTGCACATCTTTCTGGGTGCAGTCTGCAATCACTCCTATGTGAGATTATTCTATTGGATAGTGACCTCGATGTTTGGCCTATATATTGGTTGTTACAATCATGGCACGGAATACTATAGATTACATTTGTGTTAGATAACAAGGGCACTTTATCTTTGATTTTAGTGTGCAAGGATTTGATAGTTACTACTGTTCTGTATGCTATTTTTAAGTTACATGTTGATGGAAATAATCTGGTCAGTTGTGGTGTTACCTCTCTTATATAGGGCAGTGAAGTGAAAATGATTGGCGCTGGAATTGTCTCAGGGATTGTTGCAATTTGTTGTGGATCTGGGTTGTTAATTGAATTTTCAGGTTGATCAATGGATGGTGCATTAAATAATATTGATTTTACTAATTTGACCGGATATGAGTTGTCAACGAAAAGTTGTAAAAGAATTTTCAAATTTTTATTATGGAAAGTATTGTCTGAGATTCTCATCACTCACTTGGTCAAGCAAATGAAAACCAGAGTGATGAGAATCTCAGACAATACTTTCCATAATAAAAATTTGAAAATTCTTTTACAACTTTTCGTTGACAACTCATATCCGGTCAAATTAGTAAAATCAATATTATTTAATGCACCATCCATTGATCAACCTGAAAATTCAATTAACAACCCAGATCCACAACAAATTGCAACAATCCCTGAGACAATTCCAGCGCCAATCATTTTCACTTCACTGCCCTATATAAGAGAGGTAACACCACAACTGACCAGATTATTTCCATCAACATGTAACTTAAAAATAGCATACAGAACAGTAGTAACTATCAAATCCTTGCACACTAAAATCAAAGATAAAGTGCCCTTGTTATCTAACACAAATGTAATCTATAGTATTCCGTGCCATGATTGTAACAACCAATATATAGGCCAAACATCGAGGTCACTATCCAATAGAATAATCTCACATAGGAGTGATTGCAGACTGCACCCAGAAAGATGTGCACTTGCAGAACATGTGAATAAATATGATCACCGTATGAATTTTGATGCTGTTGAAATCCTATCACGAGAAAAACATCTGATGAAAAGAACTTTCTTAGAAATGACCTTTATATCACAATGCAATAATTGCATAAATAAAAAAACGGATATCAATCATTTGAGTGAGATTTATTCCTTTTTACTGTCTTTAGATAACTCATAATCATTTCAAATTTCAGTTTTCAACGTTGGTACGCATGGTCTGTTGGTACCACTGTTTCGTGCATTTTGACATGACAATTGTCTTCACACACACTATCATATGTCAGTCATATTCATTTTTCAAAAAAACTCATTTCCCGGCACCATTTGCAATAACCTTATCTGCTAACAATTCCAACCATGTGGTGGAAGATGTGACTTTTAACTAGTTTATAATATTTTAACGTGTGATTCAATGTAATGTAATTGTATTTTTATCGATGATTTTTCGGCTTTTTCATGTTATGTTACCAAGACACATAAAGAAATTATACATGAACATCATGTCAGCCATCCTCACCAAAGTTGTAAGTACACAAAGATTTCATTACTTTAACTACATGATACTCATGAATAATCACTTTACAGACTCCCTGATGATGAAAATAAAGATTTTCGAAAGCTTGGACCAACTTTAAAGAGTACTCTTTTTGACTTTGCTGCAGTCCCCAATATTCCCTAGTTTTATTCCTAACTAGTCAGCAACGACTACCCTTCTACAAATATATATATATATATATATATACAGCGTGTCTCATTTCAAACGGCCTCCCCTCTATATCTCAGCTATCAGTCGTGCGATCTTTACCAAATTTGTATCGGTATGAATTATCATCAATATGACCAGTTCTTCAAAGACAAACATCATTTTAGACAGTGCCGTGCATTTTCATTGAAATGAATAGGGGTCAGTTTTTCATTAAATCATATTAGCCATTTTTTCACAGGGAAACTGACCTCATAATATTGTTCTTCATGGTTTCAAACCTACATATGTGGATTTTCATAAGATGCCTATGGAGAGTTTCAGAAAAAACAGGCACATCTGAACAGCATTTTTGCGAAAGTAATAAATATTTACTAGGAAACGGTGAGTTCAACATAAGAAGGTATAACTCGTTTTTCCTTCCAAAACATGATTTTCCACCTACCGGAGCCATTGAACGTTCCAAAATTCGTACTTGATTTGAAGTCACTATTTATTCGAGACTGAAAATGAAAAAAATAAGCCAAACCTGTTAACTCGGAATCTGGTGATTTTTTGCATATGGAGGTTCGAAAGCATGAGGAACAATAATATGAGGTTAGATTTCCTGTAAAATAATGCCTAATATGATTTCATGAAAAATCGACCCCTTCTTAGTTCAATAAAAACGCACGGCACTGTCCAAAATAATGTGATGGTTATTCATACCACACCAAATTTGGTTGGAATCGCACGACTAATAACTGAGATATAGAGGAGGGGCCGTTTAAAGTGAGACACGCTGTATATATAATTATATTGGTTTAATCTACTGGATAAATCGTATAACTTATACGGTCCGATTCTTTCATTATCATTTTCATCGATGGCGAACAATTATCACAGGAATGCAGATATTCAAACTATATTTAATTCATCGTTTTTGTTTATCATAATCATCAATCTGTTATGCCTCTAACCAACTGCAAAAATTTGGAATTTCAACGAAAATAAAATTATATAAATTCATATTTTGTTGATCAGGCAAATTCCCAGATGTCATGAGGTAATTTCCTTCTAAACCGCACATTCAACGTATTTGGAGTTTTAAAAATGACACTGCTCGATTGGATCCTATTTATTACTATTTTCAAGATGACGGCACTACACACTAGCGTCTGCGGACAGCCGCAAGTAATAACTCTGTGGTAGGGGAACGTTAGTTAACTTGTGTCGAGTCTAATATAAGGAAGGAATTTTTTTTTAACAATCAATCGACCTAGATGAACCTTTTTTCTTGAAGAAGGAGAATTTTTCTTGAGGAAGGAAAATATTGTTTCTGCATAAAAAATGAGAAAACCTAACCTATCTATTTTATGAGTATATCTGTACTTGTTTCGTTGACCTGTGTAAAACTCAATGTTTATTAACACCAAATAAAATATTCTATTCTATTCTAACCTAACCTAACCGAACCTCACCTCTGGCCTAAACATAGAGAAAACCCCTAAATGAACCTATTTCCCATAAAGAATATTTTTTAGAAATCACTTGAGAACAAGAAAAAAATAAAAAAAAGATGAGCCTCGCACGGATTCGAACCGGCTTGGCATGCCGATGCTCTGCTCACTGAGCCAACCAGTTGCTTACGAGACGATTGAGACGAAGTATGATGAAGTCATTCAGTCGGCGCCGCATAACGCCAGTCGCATCTACTACCCACTATAACGTTCTCCCACCACGGAGTCATTACTTGCGGCCGTCCCGCAGACGCTAATGCACTATACCGATTATAACTTAGAGTAGGCCCTGCACTATACCGATTATAACGGAGGTGGACATCTACTTCGTTACTACGGAACTTACCAATTCATGATATTAGATGGAGTATCAGGACCAGCAAATTCCCTAATAAAGACAGTGGGGCGAAAAGAGCTCCATCATCGTAAACTGTAACAAAAATGGGCATTATTATTTTCATAGTATTGGTGCTTATTCACAATTATGACTGTGGATTAGAAAATTTGTAAGAGAACAAATTTTTCTCCGAATGACATTAGAAGTGGATTCTTAATGACACTTAACAGGCAGAAAAGGTGTACTTTGACGGCCAAGCCAAAAAAAGATTGTTGCAATGCAACGTTTCAAGTAATTTGAATCAAATTATTCGATGGTCTTTGCGTGAAATTGAAAAGAATTTGGGGAGAAAAATTATATGTTTCACATGGCAGAAAAGGAGATGTATAATGCCTTGGCTGCAGTCGCGGCATTAAATCTTGTACTTTTTCGCCTATAGTTAAACAAGTAACTATTCATTACTTTGCCTTATTCACAGTTGCAACTTCAAATTAGGCAAAGGTACGTGAAGAAAGACATCAGACAACATACATATTTTCAACTTGGAATTCAAAAAGTTGTATATTGTCTGATGTCTGTTTTCCAAACCTTCAGGAATTCAGACTGTATGAGTAAAATTGAACAAGATTATAGTTGGAAGATGGGATTTCAAAAATAATAAATCTGCCCCTGAGAGACGTTATTTCACAATCATATACGGAACCTTATAATAATCAGTATGAAATTATGTAATTTGATGAAAATTCTTCGAAAGGAAACTTTACTTATCTGTTTTCATCATTCACAAAGTAGCATATTGTCTAATTGTGATTTGCAGATGTCGATGAAATTATGTGATCAGAGATGACATAGATGTTTTAACTATAATGGGAAACTAAGTACAATGTCTACACGTTATTAATAATATGAACCACATGCATGCAATACGTATTTAACGTTACTAGTTACTAGGAGAAAATCAATGTTTAATTCAATAGTACACACAAAGAAAATATTTGGTATTATCAACAGAATGTGTTCTGTAAAGAATTTAACAAAATATTTTCCCAATGTAACAGGATTTCTATATCATAAACATAAAAATTATCAAGAAAACATAATTGAATATAATTTTTGTTAATGTTAGAATTAATTTCTGTTAGTGTGTGTTTCCGTTTAGGAATCATTTTTATATCATTAAAAATAATATGTTGTTTGATGTTAATAGAAACACTTCATATAAAAATATCAAAATACTGTTAATATCGTTGTTTATTCTGTGCCATTTATTACGTGAGGTTTCTATACTAATAACAGATTTCTTTTTCAAAAGAATGAAATATTTCATTAGAACTGCCAAAATATGAATATTTCTCAAATTCACAAATACTTCTATAATATTAAAAGAACTTTAAACGCAGTGATTTTGCTGAAAAAATATTCTATGTAGGTATATAACAAATATAGTTTTGTTCCATTCACAGACACCTTTGGGACATTATGTCATTTCCATCCAATCAGGGCAAACCTGCTATTTTTAGATCGATTGCTCCTGGCACTCCTCAAATACCTATTCACATTTCGCATTTTGTGTTGTGAAGACATCAGCAATTATAATAAGTAGTGTGAATTGTTTCGATTTTCTATCGTTCTGGTGAGTATCTACTAGGTACCAATAATGAAAATGAGAGTCTTCAGATGGAAAATATATATGTATTCCTGAATTTTGTTGCTCAAAATGATATTCTGAATTATCTAAATTCAGCTGTGAGGCAACAGATCTGCAATAACTGGAGCAAATCATTTGAAATGAACATTATCCTACAGTGCACACATGCGTATATCCTTTTTTGATAAAGAAAGTAAGATTGTGTAATAAAACTCCATCGACATGTTGCTTTGTATTCTTCCTGGAATGAGCTTGTTGTGATATAACTACCATGATTTGAAGGAAAACAAACATGATTCCAGTAACTTCTTCAATCCATAATTATATTTTCACATTTACGTGTAATCTGTGAAGTCCAATAATAATATATTCCCATTTATCAAAGCAATTTCACTATACCTCTATACTTGGAGTCCACATAAATGTCAATATTGTCAGTACAAGATTGAAGGTATAGATTATATTTTGATCAATAACTTTCGTATATTTCATTTCAGATTTGATTGAATAGTGTCCCATTTCTGAAACTGATTACATCATTCCAGAAGAAAAAAAAGAACTGTACATCAGCTAAACAATAACAAAATCCGTATTGGCGAATGGCGGCACAAAAATACAGGCTGATTTGAAATCTTTACATTATCGATCTTACTACCATCTATCGGATTGGGAGCTACACTATTTCTGTCGGCCATGACAGTTTTGGTACGGGACATCTATTTGTGCCGTGGGTTTTCTCTACTGCTCAGTGCTCCGTCAGTATATGGAAATGTTATGTGATGAGTTTCATTGCAGGCGGAAAACTATTTGCTGCAATGATAAACCATTAACATTTTTCTTACCCTTCTGAACGTCATCATTTTAGAATTCACAAGAAATTAGTTATTTTATTCTCAATCGTTGTGCTTACTAAAATGCCATGATCCAACTAACACCTGACTCGTTGCTGGTGTTAGCAGTTCATGTGAATTAAATGTCGCGAGAAAGTCTTCTGAAATCGCTAATGAGCGACATCTCTCGTAAATAAGCGAAATTTTCGATTTTTTTTCTACGCTGTATATCCACACCACATTATATAAAATGTATATAAAGGTTCGGCTCTCTTCCAATGATAACCATGTTACAATAATGATTAATTATTCGACGTGACAGTCTCCAACAAAGAGAACGATATAAACACAGGGAAAGCAGCCAGAGAATATCGATTTATGAGTCATATTTTTTTCTCTACTGTGACATTAGGTTTCAGCCAGATTATCGTTAGCTCAATATAGGAGGGAATTGTGTCAACATTTTCAAGCGAGATTCGATCAAAAAAGTACATTCTTGAAAAATGTTACATAAGGATAACTTATTTTAATGAAAGAACAAAATAAGAAGAATGTTGGTCGATCACAATGTTATATATTCATCAAAAGGGGGAGTAATTATACCTTTCCAAGTTCAAATTGAGACTTATCAATTTCGAATTGGAATTAAACATATCCAAATTGGTAAACAAATTCGAAATGGGAATAAACACAATCAAATTAGGAATCATCATTTCCAAATTCAAATTGAACAATTTCAACATAACATAATCAAAATAAGAATGAACTTATTCCATTCGAGACCAAACAACTTCAAATTGGGTAAGTAGTTGTCAATATTGGGTCAAAATCGGAATTGATTATCAGTAATTATTCATCGTACTACTTATTATTTGAATTGATGACATTCATAATGGGCGTGTACACCTTAGTAGAACTTTGAACTCAAACCATGTTTATAATGATCCTTTTAGACATAAATAATGATTGACGCCATAATTCGATCGAAAAATTAACTGGAATGTTCTATTTTTGGACATGAATAATGACGTAGAAACCTCATCGCGCCATAGTTAAAATAAAATACCAAACGCTTGACGGAGACTGAGGCAACTGATATATTAATTCTTTCAACTGTGATCTCGCGCTAATTCACTCTGTCAGAAATCATGTAGCATTCATCTCTGTCTGGAATAGTCTTGTTTCAGTATTAGGGTGCTGACGTCACATCATCGCCTCGTTTTCAGAGGTCCAAAAAATCGGGAATTTCAATAATTTTTGTATAAAACGTAGGGAGCTCACAGCAAGAAACGGTTTGCGGTGGTGAGCTAGTTTGGGTGAGTTCTATCGAATTATGAAATAATATGAATTTTGTTTGTGATATAAGCCCATTGAGATGTAGACAATATTGGAAATCGAAATTGTGCGGTGTTTAATAATACAGGTGATTGGAAAAGAGTGCATGGCTGATACAATTGCTCAAAGAAAATCAACTTCTTATCTATGAGTGAAAAATCAGGACGAAATAGGAAAACAACGGGAAGGAGGAAGAAATACCAAAATTACTCAAAAAGATCACATTTCATTGTACAGAGTTCAATTGATATAAAATAAATAATAGCGATATATATTAATAGACATGTAGCCATAAGATTTATATTCTAGATGCTCTGATATAATTGATATGGGTATGTGAAGTATTTTTATGATTATAAAGATTTGTTCATCAAATACTTTTGTGATTGAAATCCTTGCAGATATGTTATATGATCGAAATGAAAATAAGTGGAATTTATTGATCAAATATGATTTTGTTCAGTTGTAATTTGGATTGACTAAATCCGCGCCAAGTCATTTTTTCTCATTTCGAATTTAGTTTTTTCCATTCTGAAAGTGTTTGTTTATTTTCAATTTGGATGTGTTGAAATTTTGATAATGATGAATGATAAATGTCACTAAGACATTGAGAATGAAGTAAACTCTCACATATTCGGATATCAAAAATCGATGTCATCTCCAGAAAAAAGAGGAGTTGACTTTTTTCCAAATAGGGGGAATGATGCCGTCCAGTGAACATTATTCTTTGTTCCAGATATATAGCTATAAATAACGGAGGAGAAAAGGGGGAAGTACCATGAGCCTATGTCACATTGTGTATGCCAAAATATTTTGTTATTTCAATAAAATTATTCTCTTCATGTCAACTTCATTGTGTATGCGTAGTGCGATGAAACTATGTTCCTCAATTGTTCTTTTTCCAAGTGCATATGACATAACCTCAATTTCATGCCCTCGGAATTGCTCAGTTCCATTTCACTGAAATATCCTGAACTTCCATATTACACATTTCTTTCATAGAAGAGTGTTTTGAACCCAAACAAGAGGAGGGATATTTACTCGCGAAACCATTCAGAGCCAACAAACTTCTGTAGTGAAACAATGAATAAGCGACATGTTGCAAGCTACGTTACATTATTATTATGGAACAAATTCACTCCTACTTGTCGAGCCAGATTTGTGTAGGTACCTACCTAATGTGAAAAGACCTTCGTGAAAATCAGTGAATATATACCGGATGTCCCAAGTTATCGTATACAGGCAATATCTCGCTTACCTAACAAGACTGCATTAGCATA